TCTACTTGAGGTATTTCAAGGAAATAGCGGCTCCGGTCTAGAAAACCGAAATTAACGGCCTTGGGGATTCGTTGCGCTGATGACGTGACGCCCTCTATCCGCTGAAGTTGGAACTAACTTCGCCGACAAGCGGCGGTCGCTCGGTCGGTATAGTTCACTTGCCGACTAAAAACACGGAATTTGTTTGTTTATTATTATTATTATCATCATCATCATCATCATCATCATCATCATTATATCCTTGTTGTCATCTGCAAATCACTGAATTTTACTCGTATATTGTACAATCCTAAGACATAGGTCTGTCTGTATATTACGGATAGCTAGGACGATTACGTATTCAAGACATACTGTTTCGAAGATGTTGCCCAACTTTCTCCTCTCACCTTGCCGTCTATCTGTTGTTCACTAGGTTATAATGCCGTGACATTTACACTAAACAACAGAACGCCGTCACGTATGAAATAAATTAACTTTTTCAAAGGCAGTCTCTCATTTTGTTACTACAGATTTCGGTGCTATCTCTTATGATTTGTATTAATGAAAATCCATGAATAGCTCCCGCTTTAAAGGATGGTAGGCGAGTTTATTTCCTTTGATACCGTAAATATACGAATTATTTCGGAGCAGAATAGCCGCAGTTTCGCGCTCGCGGCACTCAAAGGACACATAAATTTCGTGGATCAACATTCGCTTGCCTGGAGACTGAATACACCTGGCTAGCCGCCACCAGGAGATACTCCGCTGTTCTTACATTGCCTTGTGGCATGAATGACCTATGAAATGCTATGTGATGAATTAAATTCACTGAACAATACGTGGTATCATTATCTCAGTAATATTTGGATTCAGATGAAAAGGATATAAATACCTTGGCTGGCGAGAACTCTAATAGCTCGTTTCGTGGTCCCGAAAAAGGAAATTAATTCTTAAAATTATGTCATATGTATGACTAGAGACGGGGTTTGGATTGGATGTTGCATTTATCGACTATTTATGCATACGAGTCGGAACTACAAGCAATTACAGGCCACCGCTAATCTCCACAATTCACAAATCACCACAGCTATGTCTTCACCAGCCGTTCTCTGGTAACGGCTTCTAACAGTGGAAATTCTTCAGCTTTCGCGCTCAAATCCTCTCTGAATGGCGGCTCCCTTCCAACCTCCTCTTTCTTCACAGACTCCCATATAAAACTGACTTGGCTGCCTCAGTTGTCTTTCTTATAATTCCTCGGCACGGCCCGCGCAGACAACACCGTTCATTCTCGTATGCCTATCCGTTGCCGCGGGAAGGTGTTTACCGAGTCGTTTCCTAGCAGCGGCCGTCTATTCTTGCTTATTAATTATCTGCTGTCTAACATCGGACGTCATTCCGTTGTCTGTTTCGCGGCAGTTGCCTAGAAATGAATGTTGTCTCAGAGCTGTTCACTAGCAACGGCTGTTGCTAGTTGCCACAATATATTGGTAGGACTGGCTGAGGAGAGAATCTCTAAACAGCCGAATTTCTCACCAGATATCAGGAAACTGACGGACCTTCGGATATACTGAGTAGGGACTTACCAGTCTTGGGCAGTAAACAAGGGGTTGCTGTAGTATGGGCTTCTTGAAAGCACCGTGTGCAGACATGTGGGACAGAAAGAATCTTCCTGCCATCTATCCCCTGAATGTAGAGCTCTCGCTAGGCATACAATGGAGATTTTCGTCTCTGCATATTTCGAGCTGAGAGGCGTCTAGAGGGCTTCAGAGAGGACGGATCTGTCTCTAGCATTACAGTTAGGGCCCTTCGAGGGGTACTAGCAACATCAGGGCGCATAGTAGGCCCATCAATGGTCTGAGAGTTTGGGGCTCCACACAGTAAGGGCCCTTCGAGGGGCATTAACAACATCAGGGCGCATAGTAGGTCCATCAATGGTCTGAGAGCTTGGGGCTCCACAGAGTTAGGGCCCTTCGAGGGGCACTAACAATATCAGGGCACATAGTAGGCTAATCAATAGTCTCAGAGCTTGGGGCTCCACACAGTTAGGGCCCTTTGGGGGGCACTAACACTATCAGGGCGCGTAGTAGGTCCATTAATGGTCTGAGAGCTTAGGGCTCAACACAGTTAGGGCCTTTCGAGGGACACTAACAATATCAGGGCGCATAGTAGGCCCATCAATGGTCTGAGAGCTTGGGGATCCACACAGTTAGGGCCCTTCGAGGGGCACTAACAATATCAGGGCGCATAGTAGGCTAATCATTGGTCCGAGAGCTTGCGGCTGCTGAAAATGGATACCTCCAAGTCAATGCAAAATAATGCTGCAACTGCCAGCTGTTGCTGAGAATTCCAATTTTGCCTTGCATGATCCCTTGACCTATAGAAGCAGTAGGAAACGTTTGAACGTAGTTACTGTACTGAAATTTGCTTGGTCGATTAAGAAAAAGAAAAGCACAAGAAACCACAGTCATTTCCGGTCGCAAATAAGTGTTAAGTAACGTAATCGGTTTTGGCGTTTATTATAAGATACGTAATTCCATTTCTTTTACAGTACATATTGCATAATTTATCAAATTTTATTCTTACCCTGACTCTTGCCAAAAAATGTGGAATTACTAAAATATAAAAAAGATGAAATGTACTTTTATTTAAAAAAGACGCACACATACAGGTTTGTCGTAGTTTGAATTTACTTCCCATTAGCCTACAAGTCAGGAAGAGGAATATTACAGGGGTTCCCAGAAACGTCAGCTTAATTACGCAAGATGAATCATAATATAAATTGTATTACAGCAGCAATCTTCAGACGGAACTTCCTGCTTTACTACTAGTCATCATAAACTGCATCACATCCGAGCGGAAACGTAACTTTAACGTAATTTCCTCATTCATGAAGGAAGATTCTGTAGATCAATCAATAGAGTCTACATGACACATCGTTTAGTGCTAACAAATATACATGAGGCGACAGCGCGAAAGGTTTAGGTTATGCCAGAAAAATATAATGCCTGTATATGCGATATGACACCGTGTAGTATGGTAAAAGAATACCAACGTACTGCCTCGTTCTTCAGGGTTGAAATGTAAGCCGTATACGTAACATGAGTGGTTCGAATCTATAGCGATGAACATTATGCACAGGAATTGGTCCTTTCAGAAATAAATTATTACTCCACTTGAACAAAATGGACAGTGGTAAGCTCTAAAACCTTGCATTTCATTGAGAACCAGATGGATAGAAAAACGTGGGGCGAATATTCAAAAGGAAGATCGTAGCTTCGAAATAGGCTATGTCTTCAGCCTTATCCTAGGGGGGAAGATAAAAGTACTAGGTAAGCGATGGTGTAGTTGGTTGAGGCACCGTGCTACAATCCGAAAGGTCGCGGGTTCGGTTTCCAGTGATGTCATTGGATTTTTTTAAGTGACCTAATCCTTGCAGACGCACTATGGCCCTGAGGTAGACTCAGCCTCTAACAGAAATGAATATCAGGATTCCTCCTGGGGGTAAAGGGTGGCCGGCGTGTAAGGCTGACATCACTTCCATTTCTGAGCCGATTGACTAGAGAAAATTTTGGGAGCCTCGACGTCTAACTACCCTATGGGCCTCCACGGTCTATTACAGGGATAACTTTATCTTTTTACTCAGTACTTGCAGTTCAGTATGTGGAGCCGGAAGAGCTTAGTCGGTACAGCGACTGGCTACGGGCTGGACGACCGAGGGGTCTGAGTACGATTCCCGGGAGGGTCAAGAATTTTCACTTCCCCATGTCATCCAGACCGGCTTTGGGGCCCACCCAACTTTCTATACAATGGCTACCGGGGGTAAAGCGGCCGGGGTGTGAAGCTGAACACTCACTCCAAACTAGTGCCGAGGTCAAGAAAATTTGGATCTATACATCCACTCCCCCACACGCCTTCATGGCGTAGTGCTTAATTAGTTAAGCACAGGGACAATTTTACCTTTACCTTTTTTATGCTAGTGGGGTGGGACTAAATCCCTTGTACTTCGGCCACTTCTGGCCTACTGTACCAGCCCCAGATGATAGGCGAGGGTGATTGTGGAGCAATTGGTGGAATGAAGATTGGCAGGGAAAACCGAAGTACTCGGAGAAAACCTGCCCCAGCGCCACTTTGTCCACAACAAATCCCACTTGACCAGACCAGAAGTTATCAACAGTTCGTTTTATTTTTATGCTGTGGACACAGGCAACTGAGGGAAATTGTGCTCATATCTTAGAACAGTGTCTCACGTCCAAAAAAGGCATACGTGACAGGGTTGTATCTGTTTACCAATAACAGACACAGTAGGGATGGAGAGGTCATGTTTATTTGT